GTACCGATTGTGGAGCCAGAGATTCTGTTGGACGGAGAACACGGCATTGACAGGACATACGAAGTCGCAGAGAAGGTCTGGTCTGAGGTCTTCTTCTACCTCGCCCAGAACAACGTCATGTTCGAAGGTATTCTTAATGATGACAATGCTTACTTTAGACTTTGATCGTTTTGTTTTAAATGAGAACATTTATTTTTGTTTTACATTTCTTAAAAAACTTACAACTTTGCGGATTTAATTTTGGTGACAGGTATTCTCCTGAAGCCAAGTATGGTCACTCCCGGAGCTGAGTCCAAAGACAGAGCTACTCCCGAGCAAGTTGCTTCCTACACTCTTAAGCTCCTTCGCAACAGAGTCCCTCCCGCTGTTCCCGGAATCATGGCAAGTTTTCTCTTTCACTGTAATTTTTTGGCAAAACTGAAGAAACTATATATGTTGATATTTGGATCAATGATTTGATCTATGTATGTATGCAGTTCCTGTCTGGTGGACAGTCCGAGCTGGAGGCAACCTTGAACCTGAACGCAATGAACCAGGGACCGAACCCATGGCATGTGTCCTTCTCCTACGCACGTGCCTTGCAGAACACTTGCTTGAAGACATGGGGAGGCAGAGAAGAGAATGTGAAGGCGGCTCAGGAAACACTCTTGACCAGAGCCAAAGCCAATTCGCTGGCTCAGCTTGGGAAATACACAGGAGAAGGCGAGTCCGAGGAGGCTAAGGAGGGTATGTTTGTAAAAGGCTACACCTATTAAGCTATTTGTATTAATGGTCCGTTCCATAGATCAAAACTCAAAAACTTGAGCTTGATTCTGGTCTTTGAGTTATTATACTCCTGTGTTCTTATAAGGGATATAAAAGTGAATTGGTGGTGTTTTGTCATGTGACTAGTTTTGTTTCATCGTCGTGGTTAATATGGTCGTTTTGTTACTACATCTTTGTACCTCTACACCTTACTACTAATAATTGAGTTATTACGTCTGTTTTAATCACACACTTACAAAACGCATTATCAAACTCTTGCTTTACTAGTTATGAAACTACTATAATGATAACAACGTTTCTCTTCGTCATACAAGATATAATTAGAAAAGACCAATGCAAAGACTCTAGTTTTGTATCC